TGTGAACTCTTTCATTTAATCTAGATATATTGAGCTTAAAATCGGGTCATTACTTGTGTTTAGGAACAGTATTGTTTGAGTTCAAAAGATCTTTACCTCTGTTAGGAATCACGATATGAAGATATCATTTTATGCTCACAGTCATCGTTAAAATTAAAATAAACAAGGCTTTCATAATGCTCTCTGTGTAAATAACACAGTTGCAATATAAACTATCATTGTGTTGTCTCTTGCTACGTGCAGTACTTTGTTTATATTATGACCGAATTTATAACTGATTACGAAATATCCTGTAGTAACCTGGTAGTACTTTCATCAAATATGTCCATAATGGAATATGTCTGTCCTTGTGTGTCACCGGTCTCTACCTCATCTCCCTTATTTTCTTAATTTCCTCTATATTATCTCTTTCTCTTCTTCCCTCTCTCCTTCTCACACTACATGGCTGAAAAAGTGCGCTTGAATTACGCTAAAAGATATAGACAAACATAATTTGCACAGAGAGATGTTTGAAAATAGTCAATGTACGGATTATAGGATTTTCAAAGATTTTCATGTTTAGGACCGTACTTGGAACAGCTTGATAAAAAAGATGGAGTAAATTCACGTAGATGTTTTGTAACCCTGTGAAAAAGACGATATGAGAGTATTCCTAGACATAATAGGTTATGTATTTTTTGTACTGCACACATTTTCGGTGACGATTTTCATTACTTATATAAGTGTGCTTACTGCAAGGAATGTAGCATGATATATATTCTTTCTCAGTTCAGGAACCGCCTAAACACATTGAATATGGTTTAACTAGACACAGCAAAAAAATAAGTCCCCCCGAGCAACTCCTCACAACTGTTTAACCGCCAAGTTTTGAACGAATTTACCTAAAAAGAACTATGCCTGTGGTTCCCATATAACTTTTGTTTGATAATCAGAGGTATCCGTCAAGACATGCTTGGATAAGCACACTTTGAAGACAATGTGCTACATTTCAAACTTCACACGATTCATGCAGGGGCGTCGCTAGACCTTTTTCAGTGGGGCGGGGGGGGGGCGTAGAGGCCAACGATTACCGACAAAACTAGCCACCAATTACCGACAAAATTAAATTTCCAATATCTACAAATTCAACATAAACCTGGAGCCGAAGGCTAAATTGTTTTTCATATAGACTATCTCTAGTACTTGCATATGTGCAAAATGGTCATTTTCCTCGACGACATAAATATACGAATTATTTCTTTAATTTAGTCAGCATCATAGCAATATATTTTAATGCAGGCGCGGAGTTGGGATCTTATTTTAGGGAGGGGAGGTAGTGAGAAAGAGAATAACTTAAAAGCGCGCTCATTAGGGAGTTGTGTAATGGGCCTTGACGTTTCTTTAAAGTATTATAAAAAATAAGACGATTTGCTGTACCGTTCTCGACTGTTTATCTTTTTTCTGAATTCAGTTTCCCCCCTCCCGCGCAAAGCGCGGAAGCTTTGACGTTTCATTAAATTATGAGAAAAAGCAGACGATTCGGTGTACTGTTCTCGACTCTTAATCCTTGTCTGAATTCAGTTTCTCCCGCTCCCGCGCAAAGCGCGGAAGTTTTGACGTTTCATTAAATTATTAGAGAAAAAAGACGATTCGTCGTACCGTTTTCAACTCTTAATGAGCCCTATTCATCTGAATTCAGTTTCCCCCTCTCGCGGGAAGCGCGGAAGCTTTGACGTTTCCTTAAATTATTAGAGAAAAAACACGATTTGTTGTACCGTTTTCGACTCAAAATAAGCCCTATTAATTTTGTCTGAATTCAGTGTCCCCCTCTCGCGCGAAGCGCGGAAGCTTTGACGTTTCCTTAAATTATTAGAAAAAAAAGACGATTCGTTGCACCGTTCTCGATTCGTGTAAATGAAGTTATTCCCTTCCGCGCGAAGCGCAGAATTTTTGGCGTTTCATCACAATATAGAGAAAGGAAGACGATTCCTCGTACCGTTTTCGAATCTTATTTGCCCTATTCATCTGAATTCAGTTTCCCCCTCTCGCGCGAAGCGCGAAAGCTTTGGCGTTTTATCACAATATAAAGAAAGGAAGACGATTCGTCGTTACGTTGTTGACTTTTAAACCTTGTTTGAATTTAGTTTCCCTGAAAATTTTAAAATTCTGATTTCTTTAGCTGATATTATAGGAAAGTGGAACTTCAGGAAAATACAAGTATTGTAGTTGTAGTCACTCTCGAAGTCGTCACAGCGGATAGGAAGTCACAGTTCGTAGGGAAAAAAAACTTGTCGGCCGACCGACAATATACACCTCACTGACTTCAAGCTTCTGCATTGATATAGTACACGAGGATCGAGCAAGAATACCGACACAGCTGACCCGACACAGCAACATATTTACCCGTGTCTTTCTTGCTCTCTCGACGAGACGACTCCACCCAACAACCCCCTCTCTCTCTCTCTCTCTTTTACTCCCACTCCTCCTCTCTCAGACTCTTACCTCCCCTCTCTCTCTCTTCTCTTCCATCCCCCGTTTCTTTTGTTTCCCTTTCACTCTTTTTTTCTTCTTTTTTCCTTTTCTTTCTTTTCTTTTTTTTTCCTTTCTTTCCTCTCCTCCCTCTTTTTCTTTCTTCTCTTTTCTTTCCTTTCTTTTCCTTTTTTTTGTTTCTTTTCGTTTCTTTCTTTCCTTTTCCTTTTCTTTTTTTTTTTTTCTTTCCCTTTCCCTCTCCTTTTTCCTTCTTTTTTCCCCCCACTTTTTTCCCTCTTTTTTTTCCCCTCCCCTTTTTCTCTTTTTCCCGACGGCAGCGCAATTTAACCGACAATATCCTGACAGGTGGGGGAGGGGTGTCGCACCCCCACCCCCCCCCTTTTGGCGACGCCCCTGGATTCATGTCATTTCTTTAGTGTACTGAGAGACAGTAATATTCATGAAGGATAGCGCTGTATGTATGCATTGGGTTGGTTAGAGATATCCTGACACACCCTAAAGTCCATTATCACACCGTTCAAACGGAACTGAAGTGGTATCATTACTACAGTTGTATTGAGAAACAGGTAACATATACTCCCTTGCATTGACACTATACCTCAGCTACCTTTGACTCTTGCTTATTGCTCGGAACACAGTCTACCGTGAACATAAAGATTCAAGGTCAGCAGGGTGTCAGGAGATCATCACTTAACCCAATATATACAAACAATGTGACTGTCATGGATGTGACTGTCTCTTAGAACAATAATTAAATAACAGCAATCTTGCTAATTTTGAAATATTGTTGTTGTAATTGTCTTCAAGGCATGATCATTCAAGCATGACTTTGACGGATACTTCTAATTACTTTGTTTTTACATGAGAACTAAAGGCACAGTCTCCTTTAGGTAAATTTGTTCAAAACTTTAAGGTTTAGAAATTATGAAGATTTGCTCGGGGGGGGGGGGGTTCGCTTTTGTTTGTTGTTTCGATGTATATACCAAAGATGTGAAACATAACAGGTTTATGTGAATTATTTTGTTAAAGATTGGTAAATCACAATTATTCAACTAAATAAGTTGCACTCTTTTTATAATCCACACGTAGCGCATGCATGCATCATTATAAAAGTTTCGCTGTGTTAGTTGTTTACAAATGCTTTAATTGCCATCTTAACTTTATTGATATGATATAAAACAATGTATTATGATTTTCATGCATTTTTCTCATACACTGGAAGGGATCGATAGAAATGAAGTTCAAGTTTCTCTCTCTCTCTCTCTCTCTTTCTCTATTTATCTCTTTCTCTCATATTATCCCTCTCTCCATCTGTCTTTGTATCTGTGTTCGTTTTCTGCAACCCAATTACTCCTCTCTCTCTTATCCTTTTTCTCTCTCCCTCTCTCCATTTTCTCTCTCTCTCCTTCCCTTCCTTTTCTCTTCTCGTTATCTGCTCATGCTTTTTATATTTAGAGAACACGTTTGTTAATGTACACTTTGACTCCGTTCTATCGCAATCACAAGAGCTGTCTCTTGACAAGGCTCGCCGGGTAGACGTTTATCAGACACGAAATGATTGTTGACATCTATAAACTCGTGCAAAGTACTGTTTATTTAGGGATAACATCACACGATGAACTTTCCAAGATAAGAACAATTAAGAGGTCCAAAGTGATACCATAATCATCCTGTAAAAGTTCCTTTTCACAAATAATCCAAGCATAAAAGACTATGAGCATGGCTTATCGAAATGATATTTATTTTGGGTCTATATAAACACGGCTTCCACTGATAGGTCCATAAACTTACAGAATAATCATTGATGATAAAACGGGTAAAATATCCCGATGAACTTATAATCATATATCGGTTTATCATAAGTTGACATGGACAAATTTAATACTAACATGTATCATATCTTTAGAACCCACGCCTTCAAAACCGTTAGGTCGAAAATAATTATATCTCATTTTAATACAGTATTTTGAATTATCGAAATTATAAGGCAGTAAAACCGTATTAATTAAACAGTCTTAAACCAAATCAAAAGCATTAGGTTATGAAAAATTAACAATAAAGGCATAACATTTGTCATACTTAAATTATATATTTCATGAAATACCATATCATTAACATGATTAATGCCAATAATAAAGAAGACACAATGGTTTAAGGCCTGGTACAAAGCTCTCTAACAAAACAAACGAATATCTTCTACAATCCCTTGACAAATATACTTGAGAAGAATCGAGTTACGGATTTTTAAAGACGTGGATGGTTGGCCATATTTTGAACCTCGACCGCGGTGAGCACTCGGCCATAGATCTTGACCTCGTCAATCAAGCCATAGAAATACTCGTTACTTTTCCCTGGACCTGCTTGACCAATAGTGACCGGTGTATTGCGTGTTAGAATAGGGCCAGTGCAACAGTTCTGGTTGTTGACTGTCTGCTGCTGACCATTGAGGTAGTAGAGCAAGGTAGACCCGTCATATAGGTCATGGTCACGTGGTTCCAAGTGTTCCGCAAAGCGACAAGATGTATGTAGTCTCAGGTAGTAGACGCAGCGGTTGTAACGACACCACCGCCTAACATTTGATCGCTGTTCTCCCTACCCATTCTGATCTCCCAGCTCCCTGTAGTGTAATACCCATTATTGATGATGCCCTGGTAATTCCCCCACTCACCGGTTCGCTTGAACCATACACTGGCACTGAACTCCGTGCCCAAGGCGAAGTTGGCAAACGACTGGACGCTCATTTTAGACGCACCGTTAAAGGACGCGGCCTGACCGCATCGGCCAGCCGCGTAAGAAACATCGCTGGTCGTGGTTCCGTCGCGGTTGTTACCGGAGCTGTCAGTAACGTCTCCCTCAAACGGGTAGTAAGCTGGAAGAAAACAAAGAGGAAAATACCAAGGCATCACAACAGGACAATGCTCTTTTTCCGACAAGCAACTAACAGAAAAACATTCTTATTTTCAAATTTGAGGACCAGGCTGAACGCTAGTATTAAAACTGTCAATTTTGCGAGAGTACTTCCCAACAAGCTAAAGACAAAGGCTTGGAAATCGCTTGTATGAATATTTACATCTATTAAAAAAAGCTTTGCATCCTGACTCTCGGACGTCAGAATTGACTGTCGTTTTCTTTGTGCATGGCTGATCTTCAACGAAACGGAGTTAAGTTTTTTTGTCAACTCTGTTCGTTGCTACAGCAGGCAACCAGTGAAAACGAACTCGTTTGACCAAATTATGGAAATGCAAGCATTACTTTTAACAAACAGAACTTTGTTATTCCTGGCTCATTTTTCCTGATTGAGGTGTCATATGAAAGGGCATACATTGAACTTTCTAGCAATGTGATTTTCTTCTTGAAATTCAAATACCGCACGCCAAATGACTTTTTGGTTTCCTCTTGTCAAATTGCTTTTAATCACTAATGCGTGAGATATGAATCACATGAGTTGCATCAAATGAAAGAAGAGGATCTAAGCTTTCTAAATATGTGTCATTTATTGATTATAATTGTGATTAAGTTATGATAAAACATCGATAGTTCTCGGTTTCGTTTTGTTCTGGGACGCACTGTATATTAGATATATATATATATATATATATATATATATATATGTTTATTTGTTATTATTTCTTTTTTGGGGGGAGGGGGGGGGGTCGCAATGACTATTATAAATATTTTCTTTAACTTCATCGTAATTTTCTTTTTATATTCTTCTACCTCATGCGAAAGAATAATAATAATCATTATATATATACATATGCGGAGATCGCTGTATCGCGAGACGAAGGAAGGAAAGAATGAAGGAAGGGAAAGGGAGTGTTGATCCAAATTATCCTACCATTCAAATTAAAGCTCTCAGCTTGTCAAACGTACCAACTGTAGTAAAACTAAATTTTTTCAAATTTGAAGGCTAATGTTCTATTTTTGGCAATTCCCTCTTACATTTCAAGAGGACGCTCCTGTGAGAAGAGTTTGGGCCCTCTATGGTGAACTGTGAATTGTGACCCAGACCTGTACCTACAATACTGATGATGTCAGCCTTTTGATACAAAAGGAAGAAAAAAAAAGGGGGCGGATATTATCAACTCACCAATCAAGCAATCATGAGGGCAAGAAGAGCACGCCATCACCGTTGATATCATAAACATGATCATCGCTAAGAGGGCTATCAAAGTGTTCATTATCGGCGAACTATAGAATATAGATAAGAAACATTTTATGACTGTGGTTATTGTAATGCAAAAGACGTAGATGTAGAGTCTGATTGGGGTGTTCTCAATATAATTTAAATTATGAAAGTTAGTAACATTTGGTGAATATTCTTTACCAGTTTAATGATAAAAGTGACCATTTAATTGAAGTATTCGGGATAATTCTGAGGTAGCAGATGTCCTTACTTGCAAAATCTAACTTTTACGAACACTATGGCCCGAATTTACAAAGGAGGTTTGTCGACAAACTTTGGTTTTCGTACATCATATGACGCGTTTTGACGCGTTTTTTACAACCTGGTTTGTAAAAAACAAAAGGAGGTTTGTTGAAACAAAAGGAGGTTTGTCGACAAACCTCCTTTGTGAATTAGGGCCTATGAGTTAACAGTCTCACTGTATCGAAATATTTCTGAATATGGTAAAAATTTTCCTCGGTAGAAAATTCAAAGCATTGAATTTCTGTATCGTTCAGAGCATAGTGACTGTACAATTTTCAATTGTATGCGCTTTAAGCTTTACTGTAGAACTTATGAGAAGTGGCTCTTCCTCGAGATGACTGTAACTGACAAGTGTTGTCTTGAAAATGATTAAAGTGATATTGAATTGAAATCAGGATCGATACTTTATTTTCTTCTAGTCACGCTAACACCATGTACACATGACGGTATGTATATTCAAGGACAGAGGAGGTTAGATCCGGTACAGGAGAAATTAGAAAGAAATCAATACAAGAATACCAGCACGCATGTCCACTCGACTTGAATCTGATAGAGATTGAGCACTCTTACTTGTTTGAAGTGAAAAGAAGATAATTTCATAGGTCAGCAGTGTCTATGAACGTGGGCAAGGTTAAATTGTAAAAACATATATAGACCTAGATAATTCAAATTATAAACAAAATATGTAGTAGTAAAGCATTGGACGATTTGATTACACGAAAAACTGATTATTTATGTAATGATGGTCGCTCTCTTGAACTATAAAATGTGCATTAAAAATAAAGATGTTAGTTTTGAATAAATATTAGATATTTATGAAAATATGATTTATATAAATGATTATTGCTGTACTTTTATTTGGTAGAAATATGTGTTTTAGAAAATACTTAGTCTGTTTGTCAAATATTTTTAGCACCGGCACAGCATGAGTAAACTTTCATGTTTTATGTTTATCTATACATCAACTCAGTGTTTTTTTTTCTTCTTTTAAACCCCACATATTATTATTATTATTCAAATTCATGATATATTGATATATAGTTGTTCAATGGACCTATTACAGATTAACCCCGTATGAAACAAGAAAGAAACAACAACAACAACTACTACTACTACTACTACTACAACATCTACTACTACAACAACTACTACTACCACTCTTTCTCCTTCTACTATTTAGAAAAATATTAATAATGTTATCAATGACAACAATAATGATGATAATAATGCTATCAACACTATTACTACTAATAATAATACTACAACTATTAGTACTACTACTACTACTACTACTACTACTACTACTACTACTACTATGTATTCTTCCAGTACTACTACTACTACTACTACTACTACTACTACTACTATTACTACTATTAATTTTACCGCTGCAACTAAGATAATTTTCACCACTGAGCTTGTCATATCAGAAGTCAACTATATCGGTGTATGAGTGATACCATTAAACAACTGCTATTTTCATAGGAAGGCTCTGCTTAGACTGCAAGCGAAGAATCTAATTGGATGGGTCGAATAACGGCTAGAGTACAGAGCCTATTGTAGTCTTGTATTGCAGACACTGTTACTCACAACGACTGACTAGGGTTTATGCATGCAAACTAGGCTCTACTCTAGTGTAAACCTTGACTCTTACCTATCATTATATTCTGATGTTATATTCCTACTTATGATCAGCGCATTCATACCAAAAGACGTTAAAAGATGGAAGTTGTTGCTACCTTGTTTGGCGTTCAACAATAAGGGATAGAGTAACGTCGATCTGGAGCTGCTCAGTGGCTGCCAGGCTCACGATCAATTGGGCAAAAAGAATTTCCGTTTCGGTTTAATAAAATTTGGAGTAGACTATTAGGCTATTATTATTATTATTATAATTATTCAAGAAGCCGTAAAGTAATCTTTTATGAGACTAAAACAAAAATATTAAACTTGACAAAGTCACGTGACATCCACTTATTATAAGAATAATTTGTGACCATAGCATTGAGCGGTGATGGATTCTAAAATAAAATATAAAAATGAAGATTTCAGTTGCGGCTTCACCCACGGGTTCTTTGTGTGCATGATCGATGTGTACAGATTAGAATAAAATATATAAATAAACGATTCATTTCTTTTGGTCATTCAAATAAATCGGATGTTAATAACTTTTTCGAATGAAAGTTAAATGATTGATATTAAGTGTACATGTTTATTTGTTCACGGCACATGATTGTTGGTCGGCGGATGAGGACTGTTGGGTTACCCCCCTTTCACCAACAGATGGCGCTGATGGATTAAAAATGAGTTAAAGGGGGATATTAGATTGCGTCACCTCCCTGTTACTAGTCATTGATTTCTAAAAGGGTTAAGCAGGGCCCCCACTTGGCCAAGTTGTATTAGCGAGTTATGGCGAGTTGTGGTGAGTTGCCTATTTGCCAATTTGCTCTATCATTTCTGACAAAGGGACGCCCATGTGAGCAGAATTACGGCCCTCTACGGTGAACTGTGAATTGTAACCCAGACCTCCACCCTTAATGTCTCAGTGATGATGTCATATTTTGATCAAAACAAATGGTAACGAGCCATTCAGGGGCGGAATGTAAACAAGCAATCGTGCGGGCAGGAAAACACGCCATCATCGTTGATACCATAAACATGATCGTCACTAAAGAGGACTAGTGTCTATCATCGGAAAAATTTAAGAATATAAATTAGAAACAATTTCTGTTTGTGGTTATTGTTTAACAATCCGTTGGACTAAACATTACAAAATCGAAATCCCAGTGCCAGAGTGGGTTGTTCTCAATATAATATAAATTGTCAGGGGGTGATTATGAAACTCATAACATATCGTGAACATTCATTTCCTCTTAAAGAAATTGACGCCATCATACAACTAAGGTATTTGGTATACTAAGGTAGGAGAAGAGGATGTTCTAAATCAAATACTTGTTGCTTTAACAAACATTGTGATTGTGCATTATGCATTACAACATTAAGAGCAGAGAAAGACTGTAGAGTTTTTATGCGCTGTACAAATTCATTTGTATCATTTTTGTTTAATGATTTCGTGTTATTTTTTGGTCACGATATGTATAGTGTATAGCATATGCTGGAGTGAAAACAATAAAATGTCATCCATATTGCTCCGATTGTCTCATTTTCGCTCGCGTGAACATTGCCAGCACAAACCACTGACCTCTACCTCCTGAACGGATCATCGCCCATTCCCATTCACTATACGTTACGTACTAAAAGGCTGTATTGTCTGACCGTTCATGAATATTCATGTTTTTGCTAAACTCATAAAATGTTTGCTTTTACTAAATGGAAAAATTACGGTGGGGGGTTGGATGAAATGGACATAATGAAATAGGCAGAAGTGATCTATGATAATTCATGCTTTTTATGTTTCGTGTGCTCGACCTATAATCTTCAAATCGCTTGGTAAACTGAGTCCAAAGTTAGATTTGTTTCACATGTGTATTATAGGCAATGACGAGCTTGCAACCTATTTTGAAAAATTACGGTGGGTGAACTTTCAAAAGTCAATGAGACATGAGGGCTCCAATAAAAGAGATAGTGATAACGTACGTCGGGGTAGATGTGCTTTTCGTTTAAACAAAAAATGATTTTTTAACGATTTTAAAAAAAAACGTCCATAGGCTATCATGTTAGGCTGCTGGCTCTGATCATGCTCTGACGATAGGGGGCGTTGTGAAATGAGACTAAACGGAGCCATATGTTTTCTTGGAAAAAAGACATACACAACCGAACCAAGTTCTTTATCCCCCCCCCCCCCCCCCCTACTGAAGAATTAGTAACTGACAAATGGCTCTTACGCGAGATGATTGTTGATGACAGGTGTTGTCTTGAGAATGATTAAAGTGATATTGTTTGAAATCCGGACCAATACTTTATTTTCTTCTAGTCAGTTAAACACCATGTAAGTAGGATGGTAGGTATAAATAAGGACAGACAGGAATCGAAAGCGCTTGTGGAGTTCAATTCATGCTTCTTGTGTATTACATCTTGCGTTGTGAATTACTATATTTTCCTCTACATGTATAAACATATATAAACATTTTTAATACAGGGTGTGCAGGAAAAGGACTAGAATACTGCAAAAAAGCAGGGGGACTTTACAGGTACCAGTTTACACGCGAGCTCAAGAAACTAATAGATCACACAAAAATCTAAGCTTTACCTAGAAGTATTTTTTTCCATTTCTCTCTCTCTCTGTTTTTTTTTTGCTGTGCTAATCCCCCATTCACCAGAATATGTAAAAGATTCTCAACACATTCCACATTAAAACTTTCTCTTGCATTCTTACTCTCTTGTTCCCAGTCCTCTGTGAGCTGCTTTGTGATTATTATTGTCCGCATCATGCCTAGAACATGGAGAGGAAAGTGCATTTCAATTTTTGTTATCAAGGATCAAGATGAGATGTCATGAGCTTTACATGTACTTCAAAAAAGGAGCTTTGTGTTATGGATATTTCTCAAAACAAATGAATAAACAAGCTTACATTATCGTACAAGAATCATGAAATAAGCTTCTCACGCAAACCCATGATCTATCCAACTAAAACACTTGTCGAATGACAAGTAATTTGTTATCCGGAGAATTAATCTGATACTTGGGGTAGGAAATGAATGAGCCAGTTTCACATGCTCACTTTCTCACTATTTATTTCATTTCAGGAATAACCTTCGATCTAGCTACCTTATCATTTCCTCATATATGTGACGACCATCTTATGCAATTTTGTCATTGGTAGTATCAGTCACAATGGGGGTCCATTCTGCTGCTCTGAAAAGTTCCAATCGTCAAAAGAGGAGTT